ATTTATAAATATCGAAAAATTGAGAAAAAAAATTAAAAATTAAAAAATTAAAAAAGAAGAATGCTAAACAGATAACTGTGTCTCTACATGGTGAATCCAGAAAAAAATAAATTATTATAACTAATTGTGATCAGTATTATAAATTATGATTGATACTATAATTATGATTACGGAAAATAAATTACAATTTTTTTAACATAAAACTAGTTATAACTCGGAAACGGCTTATTTCCGGACCTATGTTTATATGTATAACTTTTTTTCTTTCTTTTTGGATCCCGAATCATCTCCCGAAGTATTGCAAGCGATTTACTGGACACCCTGTGTATATATAATATATATATATATATGCACATAACAAAAAATTTATATAAATTCCAATATTGTTTTAAAATAAAAATTATAAACAATTTCTAACTATTGAACATACATTATATTAAAAATATTATAATAACAAAAACTTCATATAATTCTAATATATTATTTAAAAAAAACAATTATATATGATTTTCAACCATTATAAATACATTATATTAACCTAAAATAAATGATAGAGTAATTCTCAAAAAGTATTTGCATTAATATTTCTAAAACATTTTTACAATTCTTTTAAAAAAAGGCATGACATCGATACTTGCATATTTCGAAATGTATTGTTGTCACTTTTCCACGAAGTTAATTGTGTATGAAAATACTGAACAATTAAGAGCAACGTAAAGCTGGAACTACATATATATATTTTTTGAAAGATAGTATTTCGTACAACAAGTATAACCATATATTTGTTTTCATTTTCTTTAGAAAGTAATCAAACGTGTGTACATCGATGTTGTAATGCTAGTGCGTGTTCGATAAATTCTATGTCATTACATAACATTTTCAAAATATGTACAATGTACAATATTATTTAAAAATCAAAAGAGAAAAATAATGCCTATTAGGCCATCACAGTAATTAGAGCGTGAAGAAACTTTACTAAATCAAAGGTCGAATCGAAAAGTATGTAATATTTGCAGTTTTTATTCTATTAATAAAATTTATATTCTTTACACTTTAATTATTGCGATAGCTTTAATAAGCAATATTTTTATCATTTAATTTATTATTTTGGAGCCTTTGAATTTTTTTAATTATTTGAAAATGTGTGGAAATTACACATGAAATTGAGGTTTCTAAATGTTATTTTAACGTTTCTTGTTTACTAAGTTATTACTCATATGCACACAAATATTCCATTACACTACACAATAACCATTAATCTGGTGCCATTGCAACGATCATTAATACTGAGATATCTAATCAACATAATAATACAATTTTTTCTTAAACGTAGTTCATAAAAAAAAATCTCTGACATAGAAAACTCGGAGGCTTGCATATAATATCGTAAAAAGCAAATACAAATTTTCAAAAATGAAATCTCTCACTTAGAAGTTTCGAGGGCATATGATTTCGTAAAAAGCAAATACAAATATCTAAAAAAGAAATCTGTCACTTAGAAGACTTGGAGACTTGCATATAATTCCGTAAAAAGCAATAAACATGTATAAAAAAAAATTACTCACTTAGAAGTCTCGTGGGCGCGAATACAATTTTGTATAAAGCAAATCCAAATTTCTAAAAAAGATATTTCTGACTTAGAAGACACGGGATTTGCATGTAATTTTGTAAGAAGCAAATACAAATTCCTAAAAAAGAAATCTCTGACTTAGAAGCCTCGGAGACTTGCACATAATTTCGTAAAAATCAAATACAAATTTCTAAAAAAGAAATCTCTGACTTAGAAGACTAAAGGGACTTGCATATAATTTCATAAAAAGCAATA